CCTGGGCTTCCTCGGCGAGGCCATTCGTAGGCCGCCCGCGCCGTCCCGAGCAACCCCTTTTCCCACGCTCCCCGTCCTCCGGCCCGAGAACGCCCGGGCGAGGAGTTGGCTGTAGTGCGAGGGACCGATCCCTTGGGGCCGCCGGCGGCGAGAGCCTGAGCCGCTCCTCCCAATGGCGAAGAAGACGTACGACCTGCTTTTCAAGCTGCTCCTGATCGGAGACTCGGGAGTGGGGAAGACCTGCGTCCTTTTTCGTTTTTCGGATGATGCCTTCAACACCACCTTTATTTCCACCATAGGTGAGTCTTGTGGGAGGATGGTGTGCGGTCTGTGGAGCTGCAAGCCTTTTCTTCTCCCCTCCAGACATCTTGCTTCCCGTAATATACGCCTTTGTTTCAGGGATTCCGATTCCAAACGACAGACCCAAGTTACTGTTTCAAGCGGCATCTAGCTTACTGGGGCGGGGTCTTCCCCTGCTATTCATCCGGTCTTTTGCTTTCAGATCTCCCACTCTTGAGTACCCGCTGTGGGTACAAAAATATGCAGCATTTAACAGCATTCCCAGATCCTGTTTCTTTAAGCAACTTGCTGGCTTTTTCCATATTTGTGTGGAGTTACTAAGATGGGTGATATTTCTAAGGAACGTTTTAGTGGCTGTGATTGAAGCAGCATTAGGTGTGTGATAAAGGGCTGCCTTGATACTTGAGGTCAAAGAGAAGATTCCATGTGCTCATAACATAGAGTAAACGAGGATTTGTGTTAATAATTATTAAGCAAATTAGAGGGGAGAAGCGAGTTGTCCGCGTTGACTAATCCATTGATGTGTGGAACAATCGGAGGCTCTTCGTGCTTGGAGTGGGAATCTGCCTCGAGTTTGCTCACAGTGCTTTTCAAGACATCAGCAGAATCAGTAATCTGAGGAACATGATCAGTTTCTGTCCTCAGCCAGAGTCCTATTAATGTACTTTCGACACATTGCGGAATTTTTTGGTGTGAAAGAAAGTGATGATTGACCTTTTCAATCAGTTTCCCATTTAGGAAATGAAAAGGGAAGAATCTAAGAAAGTTGCTTTTGACTCTGACACTAGCACTAATTGTGCTAAAACTCTTTTTTTTTTTTTTTTTTTTTTTTTTTTGGTACTGGGGCTCGAACTGGGGACCTTGCGCTTGTGAGGCAGGCGGCGGAGCCACTTAGCTAAATCGCTGGCCCTCCCTTGATTCTTTAAAGTACAGCAGCAGTGCAGTAAAACTCATTTTAAATGAACCTTAATTTTATAGTGAAACTGTTTAGAGAGACACCTGCAATCCTCTGAACTCTGGGAATTGTCAAAATAAGGATTTCAACCAGTTTATAGCCTTACTGAAATCATTGGTTTGGACCTCAGTGACATTTAGCAGCAGCATATTCTCATAAAACATGATGCTGAAATTAAATTGGACAAGTGATTAAAGTTTTTCTTTTTACTTACCTTCTTGCTGGGGAGGTAATTTGCTGGAAATGGTCATCATTTCCTGAGCGTACTTGTTTCTCTTAAACACTGTCATAAATTACATGAAATTTAGAACTTGTTCTCTGCCTTGGGTAGCACTTTTTAGCACAGTATTTCACTTTTAGGTGTCGGTAGCTGGGTGGGTCAGGTGGTTAGATCAGCAAATATTTATTGAGTGCCTAATGCTAGGCACTGGGGATAAGCGGTGGACCCCTTGAGCGTTCTGGTGAGGACAATCACAATAATGTGGAAAATGCTTAGGATAGTTAAAAGTCAAGGAGCAAGAGTGAGGCTAAATTGGGGGGAAGCTGAGCAGTCTGGCGTGGACATGAGACTGACGTGAAGAGTGAGGGTCGAACAGGAATTGGACCAGGTTGGTGGGATTCTCCCTTTCTGTAAGAGGGGGAATTTCATTCTGATTTTAACCTGCCATTGAGAGGGGTGGGATATAGAGTAGGAAGCAGAGCATTCACTTTATCTACACCAGTCTTTCTGTAAAGGGCACATCTCCAGCACCCATTCTGTAAGATAATGTAGAGTCTTTGTAGTCCTTTTACGTAGGAAAAAATGGTTTTGGATCAAGCTTGCTGGTTTGCAATCCTGGTTCCACAGGTAGCTATCTGTGTGCCTTAGGCAAGTTACTTAACCTTCTGCTTCAGCTTCTCTTAAAGAGTATTAATTGTCTCTACTACATAGGGTAGTTGTGAGGATTTTATGGGTCAGTAAGAATAAAGCACTTAACTTGGTGCCAGGCACTTTTTGTTAGCTACATACAGAATATGTGACGTTTTGTTACTCAGTTAAGACAGGTTGTTACTTTGTGGGTCAAATGCCCTCTACCCACAGTGGTCATCCAGATACTTAATCCGTGCTTCATTAAAGTTTACTCTCTGACACATAGATGTTCTACCACTGAACCCTCCAGCCCTCCAGCTGTTTTTTTTTTTTTTTTTTTTTTTTTGAGCATTTTCTAAGTATGAATGGAAGGGAGGCTTGTAAGTTGTCATTTAATTGTTACTGCTTAGTTTATGTTTTTGGTACTGGGGATTGAATTTAGGTCCCATTTTGAGCATGTGCTATACCACTAGTCTCTGCCCAGCTCCAACATCTGAGGTTTGTGCAGAAGGGCTTATCTTACAGGTGACCAGAAGGACCAGACTATTAAAATAAAGCAGGCCTTTGTTATTTTAGACATGATCATTTTAGTTTCTTGTTGGTTGTTAATTTCCACTAATTCTTTGAAGAAAGAATTATAGATTTATGGTGCATCCAGTGCTCATAAAGAAAACTGTATTTAAATTTTTCTGTATACTTTCAGTCCTCACACATACGTATTATGAAATTATAAGATATTTATGGTTAGATTTACTGCAGACAGAGTTGCAAAAACAAATTACTGGTAGGTTCCACATTCAGACAATCTCAAAGTGAATCCATGGACACTAGAATACAAGTTGCACAAGGGCAGAGATCTTTGTCTTTTTGCTGATAAGTGCTAAGCACCTAGAAGAGTTCCTGCGTTTAATAGGTGTGTGATAAAAAAAGAATAAAGGAAGACAGGCAGGCAGATGGTACACTCAGGATCCTTAATACATAGTTGGGGCTAGTTTACTTTAATGTTTTCTTTTTTACCTCATTTTTCCTTTTTTTTTGAGACAGGATTTCACTGCGTAGTTCAGATTGCCCTGGAATTCACTGTGTAGCACAGGTTGGTCTTGAACTCGCAGCTATCCTGGCTCACCTGCCCAAAGTACTGGGATTACAGGTGTGCACCACCACACCTAACATTTTTTCTTATTCTTGCTGCTGCTTTTTTTTTTTTGTACCAGGTATCGAACTCCTGTCCTTGCGCTTGCTAGGCAGGTGGTGAAACCACTGAGCTAAATCCCGGGCCCCAGCCCTTTATTCTTGTATTTTGAGGTACTGGAGATTGAACCCAAAGCCTTGCTCATCTTAGGCAAGGCTCTTATCTATTTATTTTTTGAGACAAGATCTCACTAAATTGCCCAGGCTGGGCTCTAATTTGAGATCTTCCTGCTTCAGCCTCCCCAGTAGCTAGTATTACAAGCATGTGCTGCCATACCTGGGCCTTTTTACCTACTTTGTGAATAGTATACAAAGTATATTTGGGTCCAGTTTTATGTAAGACTATTAGCTGGTTAACCTGGCCTGGTGGTGTACACCTGTAATCCCAGCACTCTGGGAGGTTGAGGCAGGAGGATTAACAGTCGTGGGCAATTTAGCAATTTAGTGAGGCTATCTTAAAAAAAAAAAAAAGGGATTGAGGACACAGCTCATTCCCAGTAAGGGGTGTGTGTGTGGGGGGAACAGGATTCACAGGTTGTCTCAAAAGTAAAGAAAGTTACTGGTTTTGGACGAGCAGATTTCAGTGGTTTACTTGCGCATTACTCTCTTGGCAATATGTGCTCAGGAAAGCATTACCCATTAGTGATATGATAATTATGTGAACTTGTCCCCACAGCCTAAGTTTTAGTTGGCTGTTTCTACTGGATGTGCTATCTTTTGGTGTCATTAATCTTTCTTTCACTCCTAGACTTATACTCTTTCCGTAGCAAGTATCTTTTGTTCTGAAATGGAGTATCTGGGCTGCATGTAAGAAATTAAAAGTGGTAGTACACATCTGTAAATCCAGCATTCGAAAGGGTGAAGCAGGAGGATTGTCACAAGTTTGAGGCCAGCCTGAACTATGTAGTGAGACCCTGTCTGATATTAAATCGTTGAAGGCTTTTGTCCCCAAAAGAGATATAGTGCATCTTTTTTTATTGTCTTGAGTGCTTTTTCTAAGCTTTGGAAGGATAGATTGGTTCCACTAACCTGAATTTAAGAATAAGTTGGATAAATTGAAATGAACCCATTTTATGTAGAACATTGCTTTTTAGGGAAATAAGCTAGACCTTTGTCATATTAAATGTGTCTGGGTTCTTCTGTAAATACTCAAGCAGCAGTTCAGGCTGCAGCAATGCCAGAAGGCCTCAACAATTTTTCTCATTTGAATATACACTTTTAGGATTGACTAAAAAAGTTTTTTTTCCTCCAGAGAACATGTAAATAAATGCCCAATAAACACGTGAAAAGATTCTTATCATCTCTAATAATTAGGAAAATGCAAATCAAACCACAATGAGGGGTCAGGCGTGGTGGTGCGCACTTGTAATCCTCGCGTATGGGAGGCTGAGACAGGAGGACTGCTGCTGAGTTTGAGGCCAGCCTGGGTTATATAATGATCTCAAGACCAGCCTGAACTACATAGTGAGACCCTGTTTCAAAAATAAAACAAAACCCCAAACCATAAAACAAACTACAATGAGATGATACTTTATACCTATTGTAATGTCTGTTACCAAAAACCAGTTTGGTGAGAGGGCTGGGGATTTAGCTCATTGGCTTTGTGCCTGCCTGCAAGCATGCAAGGTCCTGAATTCCCTCGCTGGTACTGCAAGAACCCCTCCAAAAACCAGTTTGGTGAGGGTGTGAGATGGGAGCCTTGGTGCCTTGCTGGTAGGAAAGTGAAATGGTATAGCTGCTGTGGGAAACAGTATGGCAGCTATACTAAAAATTACCACATCTGTAATCCAGTAATTATACTTCTGAGTTACTCCCAAAAGAATTTGAAGGAGGGAGTCAGATGTTTCTGTACCAGTGTTCATGGGAGCATTATTCACAATAGCCAAAAGGTAGAAAAAAGTCCATTGATGAGTAAAATGATTAATAAATAAAATGTATGTACACAATGGAATCTTTGTCCTTGAAGAAGAGTAAAATTTTGTTAAGTACTGCTAAATGGATGA